TCAAGTGTCATTGATTTTTCGATGGACCTTTTTTTTTTATTGCTTAGATGGGTGGACGAGCCTACAGCCCATGTTAAGTGGTTACTGGAGCCCATAGACATCCACTACGTAAATGCGCCACCCACCTTGAGAATAAGTTCTAAGGTCTCAAGTATAGTTACAACGGCTGCCCCACCCTTCAAACTTCACGGCAGAAAATGGGCAGAGTGGTGGTACCCACCCGCACGGACTCACAAGAGGTCCTACCACCAGTAATTACGCAAATTATAATTTTGCGGGTTTTTTATTTTTATTACACGATGTTATTCCTTCACCGTGGAAGTCAATCGTGAACATTTGTTGAGTACGTCTGATGCCCACCGAACGGTGAATAAGTTCCGTTTCTCATGGACATATATAATGCCAGGGTCACCCAGAGAAGTCGCTTGTGAATAAGAACATGTTGTAGAACCCAAGAAACACCGAGAAACTTTATTAAGTTACAATGAAGGGTACGTTAAAGTACGTTGATTAAAAGAGATAACAACCTCATTTTTAGAACACTTCGCAAAGAGTACGTAGTACAAATCATAGCTAGGATCAGTCTTTCCGTGGCTATAAGAGACACCATTATCGATAATTATCATGTTCGTCTACTACTACTTCTAATCAAAAATTTTCGCTTATTTTATTATAAAACTAGTTGAACCGGCAGACTTCGTAGCGCCTCAATCGATAAATAAAAAACCTAAACTTTTGTATAAAATAAACTTAAAACAAACAAAAGGAATCCGTCCGACGGGGGCCCAAATCATCAAAGGGAAAACAAAATTGTTATTTCTATTTAAATCCCAGCATTTTCTTGATTATCTACCTTTTAAACCTTCTCTGGACTTCAACTAAAAATTCAAGAACAAAATTAGCCAAATCGGTCCAGCCGTTCTCCAGTTTTAGCGAGACTAACGAACAGCAATTCATTTTTATATATATAGATAGATGTTGAACGAAAACATGCAGTAATGTAGAAAAAGAGACTTAGAATTCATATCTCAAAGTGAGTGCCGGCATTTATGTTGTTGATGTCTATGGTGACGACGTCTTTAGAGCAAACGGGCCGTGAGCTCGGAATACATGTTATTAAATAAAAAAAAGAAAGAAATGATTATTGCAGAACAATATAAAACTATTTCGCATTGTACAAGATAATGCTTTCCTAATAGCTTCTACAGGAAGACTGCAAATGATCGATTATAATTTAAACAAAGTTTACCCAGAGCCCACAAATAAGAAGTTCTTTACTTAGTACATAAAGTAGACGTTACAAGATAACATATCAAGTCTATTGTAACCATTATCAAAGAACTTCAAACACAACTTAGAGCTAGGAGTAGATTAGAGTTCGCAACTTTCACTCAACGTGACTTTACTCGGTTATTATGACAATGACTTTATTGCACTTTGTAACTATATGTTCATGTGCGAAACCTCAGTTTGATTGATTCGTGCTTGTTTTATAATTAATAAAGATGACGTTATTTATGTTTATTTAATTAAATGGAAATACAGCGTCAAAGGTTTTTCACGAAATGATATTATGAATTAATCAAATGATCATATCATTTAATCAATTACATACATACTTATCATTAAAGATGAGATTGTTTTAGCGTGCAAAATAATATTCTCTGTTACAAATATTAACTACCTATTCGCATATTTATTACCTTGAAACAGATCAGCTTGTTGATCGAATAGTTAGTAATAATGACTATTATAAATACCACGGGATCCAGCCACGACTATCGATCAATATGAACCCTATTTTGTAAACAATAAATGCAATAGTTTTCCCCCTTACTTTGGCATCTGGCTGGCGCTGCCGCTTCGCTTTGCATATAAATCTACATACACATATCGATCAGTAATATATTTAGTATATATTAACATCAACTTATTCAGTTATTAAACGACGTGTGTGTCTAATTTGCGCTAACAAAAATTCTCTGAACTGTTCGTGCCTAATAATGATAGCGCTGAGCTTACGAACCTGATACCATTGTACTTAGCGCTTTTTACTTACAATCCGATAGTCAGCAATTTAACTGGGCGTGTGATATATCTGATAGGTTGGTGACAATGGTAACCACTTTTGATTAGAAGGGGGAATGCCTTGCCTGCATTCGATCTTTAAACTACAGGCATAAATATTTAAGACACTGACATTAAAATTTCATTTTTGTAATTATAGTAGTTAAAAGTAAAAATATATTTATTTGCGTTGATTGAAATGATCGTAATTTTTAAAAGATTATTTAATGGGAAATTTTATAACATCTGAATAAAAACATTTTATATGCATATTCATTTACTAATTATGAAAATAAGTTTATGTTAAGTAGAGTAAAGTAAAGAAAAAGAAAATTAATCCTCCGCTACGATCTTTTTCTAAAATGGAAGTGTCCTTTTAAACTAAACGTGAACTCGCTATTTCATCCGCATTTAATTTAAAATTCAAAAATAATGGAAACCCGCACATTTTTCCCGTCTTCAAAATAACATGTAAAGGTTTAATTGTACCATATCTTAATAAAAAGAATCCCCTTTTAGGTTTGTGAATATTTTTATGTAAATACTCATTAAATATGTATATTGTACAAATGAACGAAATGCCAATGAAAATAACGTCTGTCCTCAAGAGGAACTCACCGGCCGCCATCAACTTTAATAATATAGTTCTAAAACAATTCCGGATTCTTTCGATGCCGAGGGTGAAAGCTGAACTAAAATAAAATAGATTTTTTGCAAAACGGACACAACTCGAATTTATGGAAGTCATAAATTATAACAAGTATGAAACCAAAAATGTGACTAAACCGGTCTACCTATGTTAATTAATGTGTGTTTTTTTGGTTTCCTTAGCTTATTAGATGCTCTGAGTTTGGAGATTTATGAATTTGACATCGGTATGACGCGGTCTTGTATCGTATGTCTTAAAACAATAGAACACTGTGTACACAACGAATTGTACAATTTTTATTTTTATTAGATGTAAAGTCTACGGTTCCGAGTGCTAATATTTATTTTGAATTAATTAATAATTTAATAAAGTCGTCAATTAAACAAAAAAAGAGTCCTATTTAGACATTTTGTTTTGTTTGTTTGGTAGTCTATTAATTTAACTATTGATGTGATGTAATTGATCATACAACACTAACAGCAAACTTTCGCTAATTCGACCATGGTTTGAATCAATTCTATATGGTACACCCTGTATTGTTGCCCCTACAAATGTAGATATCCTGACCCTTGATGCCACGAACTAATCGCGTATTCCTGTTTGATGTTTTTGCCTCTTTTTCGGTACTTCAATTTTTTTCTTTTCAAGGTTAGATAATTCAAGCTGTGATGTCCGTGGGCTACATTAATGTAGTCTCATGTAGGTTAACCTGTAAATATCAGATAGACCACTAGTTCTTCTGTCTACATTATTAAATTAATAAAACCATTAACCAACTTATGCATCAATACTTCGCAAGAAACCGGCCACATTTTCTTTTCATTGCACAGACAATATTAGTTTATCTAGTTACAATATTAGTTTACCCTTTTTTTCAGCCAAGAACATGACTGTGTTGTTTTATTTTCACCACCACTTGGTCAAACAAAAGATGTAAAAAATGCACGTATGTAAGTAAAAAACATAAAAGCAATACTTGAATAAGTTTGTCCTCTTTTTGTACTTTATTACTAATCCGTTTCCATGTTTGTTGCCATATTTTTTTAATTCTATAAATCTCGCTCTAAGTTGAATAAAATGTATCAAAAAAATTACGTTTTTGTTGTGAGAGTTTAATTTTCCCTCTTTTTTGTGTTTTTTCTTTTCTTTTCACTACACAAATTTAGCGATTCCGTTATTCGACTTAGTTATGGATTCTTCCATAATAGAAATGCACTTATGACTAACAACCGCACTTATTTTTAAAATACAATGATAAGAATGTTGAATTCTGCACAAGTTTTGTTTCAGTCATTAAACAAACATAAAAATTTGCTAATCGTGATCATAGCTCACGAAAAACTATAAAATAGCTTGGGTAATGTGAACTGAATAGTTTTTAACTATTTTCGAAGCTAAGTGCAATAGGCATGTGGTAGACTGACCATGAGTAATGACACTGTCAGGTCGTCAGCCGGAATGTGAACACCGGGCTGCGTGGCACATTGACCTTAGATCAAGCCACACGTGCTAACCTTCTTGGATCATTCTGCAATTTATATCACTCACGCATCACTGCTGAAAGGATTGCAAAAAATATTTTATTTAATCAAAACTATTTTTACCGTTTACTTTCTTAACAAATTTTCATTTTATTGAAGTGAAACTTCCTTATCGGCGTTGGAAAAAAATTTACCGTCACATTTTTCGGTTACGCGTCACATTTTTCCGTTACGCGCCATCTGTTTTGTATTCATGTCTATGATAATAAAATCCTTTTGTTTAAACTTTATCTAATTTAACTTTTTTGTATTCATGTCTATGATAATAAAATCCTTTTGTTTAAACTTTATCTAATTTAACTTTATTTAACCAATTTCTAGAAAGTTGCATGTAGATCATTTTTCGAAAAATAAGGCCATAAACAAGTTTCACTTCTTACGTGTGTACACTAGTACACGCACACATTTTTTTATTTAATGGAAGCTCGCTGCTAGTGATCTCCAAGAACAATACTCATGAATAGATCAGATTCGGCTTTATAAGATGATCTTTGAAATCTGTTTTGTGTCCAATATATTAGTATAAAGTTGGAAGAATAATAAAATTTCGTTTTTGGAACGAAGTTCCTTATGGGACGATGCGGTACCCCATCCTAACCGGGAAAAAGCGTCCGTAACGTAAGATTTTTTCTATTTAGTTTGTTATTAACAGATGTCACTGCACGTAAATTCAACAATTCCTGAATCGCTGTGACGAGATGTTACACAGTTGATAGACCTTCCCGTATTTCTCTTGCTAAATCATAGTTACCTGGCGTAGGGGATACCGTGATCATGCAGGCGGTTCCATCGGGCGAGGCTGCTCCATTGCACTGCGGGGTGGTTGACCCTTGCGATTATCCCTAATGCTGATAACTCGGACGCGTAATTTTTGTTATTTATATTATATATATATTATATTATTTATAGTCTTAGCATAATGGCTATACAGTGTCTAATGTATAGTCTACGTGATGACGGTTATTATTATTATTCATAAAAACAGCAGTTTCTTTGTATATTATTATTATATATATTTTTATAAACCATTGTGAATAAAATAAAGTTGATAACTTTGTAGTTTTTATTTTTATCAAAAAAAAAATCATAATAAAAAATGTATACCCGAATAATTATTTTCTTTATACCTCGAATAGAACTTAAAATTAATATTTTTATAATAAGGAACTTCGGTCCTATCCGGTGTCCCACGACACCACACATCTTTTATTTTCTACCTTTACTGATAGCCTTGAGAGGCTATATCAGCGTTACCCTAACGGTCAGCTTCGGGGCTCAAACCAGGAGGTGTTGCTAACATTGGCCCTAACAAGAGTAGTGCTTTGCAACCAAATGAGAAGAGCCGGCGAGAAGAAACTCAGTGGGCTGTGTCTGTGGGTTTATACACGCTGTGTCTGTGGGCTTATACTCGCCGAGCCCTTCGTCGCAAGCGACGGGTTCGACGAAGACGGTGACCGGTAAAAATTTCGTCAAGCACGAAAACCATAAAGTATCGATCCGATTTTGAAGATAAAATGTTCAACGCGAGATTATATCGTAAAAGTGCGAAAGTGCGATTTTCGCTTCATTAGGCGCGGGTCGCGGCTTCATTAGATATTCTAAACCTTTACATAGTAGCCGTAACTTTAATGATAATTTGACCTTGTGCTTTCGAACTTGAATAACACTAAAAATTTTGTTTAATAACTTGCCAACTGAATAAACGCGTCATCTTCAGTTAAATAACCTTTAAAAAGCACAGAACTTGGGTACTTGACTAGTCTATACGTTGCCTATACGCGTCTATTTGCTAATTTGCTTCCATTTGACTCCATACAGAGGAGGGCCGTTCGGATTGTCGATAATCCCATTCTCACGGCTCGTTTGGAACCTCTGGGTCTGCGGAGGGACTTCGGTTCCCTCTGTATTTTGTACCGTATGTTCCATGAGGAATTGTTCGAGATGATACCGGCATCTCGTTTTTACCATCGCACCGCCCGCCACCGGAGTAGAAAGCATCCATACTACCTGGAGCCACTGCGGTCATTTACAGTGCGTTTCCAGAGATCTTTTTTGCCACGTACCATTCGGCTATGGAATGAGCTCCCCTCCACGGTGTTTCCTGAGCGCTATTTCAAACGAGGCTTGTGGAGAGTATTAAGCGGTAGGCAGCGGCTTGGCTCTGCCCCTGGCATTGCTGAAGTCCATGGGCGACGGTAACCACTCACCATCAGGTGGGCCGTATGCTCGTCTGCCTACAAGGGCAATAAAAAAAAAGTATATGTAGTAGTAGTAATAGCATTATTGTCAAGGACATTTATTGCAGTCGTGCTTAAGGTTCCTCGTCTCCCATCACGCGCTATCAAAAAAATATTTCAAACGTTGCTTCCGTTCAGCTTTCTTGCAATTCAGAATTGCGACTATAATATATCATGAAATGCCATTATGGATTGAAAACTTGTTTTAAATGAAAACAATTTGCTACTGCTTCTAACCAACAAAGTTCCAAATTACAAGAACTGCGCCATCGTCCACTCCGTATCCGTTTCGTGTTCGAACGATTTATTTAACAATTTATGGCTGCTTGAGAATCTGAGTCGAACCGGATTTATTAAGGTAAGCTCCACAAGAATTTATTACGTTGTTATATTCGAAACAAAGAGTGAAAAAATGTAATGGACCAGTTAAAGCACTACTAGTATGACACTTTTTATCATTCTCATAAATTTCAACAAAAAATATCACGCTATGTGATTCGATTCATTTACTTAATCTTAGCTTAGAACTGATTTATATAAAAGCTAATATTCATTTTTGTGTTTATTCCTTTGACCACTATACGTTCCTAAAACATTAATCAGATGGTAATGAAACTTGATACAATTATCGTTGGCACTCCGGGTATGTTTCTGTTATAATGTATTAATCATCACAGAATAGTTGGCGTGCGACTAGCATTACAAAATTGGTATTTTTCATACAATCAGCGATAATCCCAGCAGAACGTGACTGAATTTCGCAATCGTCCAATGAAATGTGTTGACGGCTTCAAACTCACAGTTTCCTTCTGTAGTCGAAAAATATCCCAGACCAGGCCAGTGGTACGTTAATATTCTGATCGCTCCCTAAAGGCTTCCGATATCAGATATAGAATATGCAATTATGTGACCTCGTAATAATGCTCATTTTTAAAGATTAGGGTAGTGATAAAAAAAAGGGAACTAGCACTTCATTTCTCAAAAGTACTCAAAACCCAATATACAATATCAAATATGAGGGTTTTGAAATCTTTTAAAACTGAGATTAGTTAGTGATTTAATTGCTATTCAAGAAGGAATATGGCCAATCTGTTAACTTAGGAAACTAAAAGGAACTACTATCTAGAATTATCTGATTCTCCATCTCAAACTTTATGGACACTGCTGAAAATCCACATTCAACGATTAAAAAAAAACTTGGATAATGTGTCCAAAGTTTAGAAGCACAGTTTTGAAACTGAAGTTTTAATTACAAGTCAGCCCTCACATAGCGCTAGTTTCGAAGGTACAATCTACCCACTAATTGGGGATTCGTTTTGTTTCTCATAATTGCGCATTCATTTCGGTTTTACCTTGCTTGTTTTTTTTTTTTGATACTTCAAACATGTGGAAGATTTAGTTATTATAACAAATTTTATAAAATTTACGGCATAGCTTTACAAGACATTGGACTTTTTTTTTAAATAGTAAGTGGCTTTTAAATAAGAGGCCAATTAGCCTCCTTCATCCGTCCACAGTAGGTAAATTGGGTCCAAACATTAATAATAAACGAGCTATTTAGTATTTCAAGAATTAAAGTCACAAAAGTGGACAAAATTATTTTTAAAATAATAATTCGAAGTAGATAAAAGTAGCGGAACCCTAAAATCATTCAAGATGTTATATTTTATGAAGTTCTTTACATAAAAAAAACCATGCTGTACGATGCTAATAAGACAACTGCACCTTTAACATAGTTTTTATAAAGAATATAAAAGAGACAATTATCATGGTAAACACATGAAAGTCACACATCAAAAGTATTCTATTAAGGTATATTAACCCGAAATAAATAAAAAAAAGCTGTGGCCAATGTAACGTACATTCACTCACATTATGCTTTATGAATAACATATTTAGGGTCATAGATGCTAACCCAACAGATCTACCCACATTCAGTCTTCAACAGCAACTGATTATCGACAATAATAGAAACGTACACATAAAATCCGAATAGTGATACACGATAATCGCGTCTGCGGATCAGGGATAGATAATTTACATTGATCCGGGAGCTGGTAGTGTGCCATCAATACTGATAGGGCTGCAATTAGTTGTCCCGACCTCGTCCGCACCGATATTTATTTCTTAACCCATGTTTCCTGATTGCCGTACACATCAAATAAAACTACCCTCCATTTTACCGTAGAGAGCTAATTGATTGACTGCTTGAATTTTCCTTGATATATTTTTTTATTTTATTCCTACTATAGATGGACTAGTTCACGGACTATCTGCCGTTAATTGGTCACTGGGGTCCACAGACATCATCCAATTCAATTAATAGTACCTTTTAAGAACTTTTTTTGCTTTTGTCTACATTTTATATAATTTTTTACAGCATTTTATAAAATATTTCGTGAATAAGTGATTTAAAAAAAATTCATTAAAAAAAAAAAAAGTATTATGAATTATCTATATATTAATACGTGAAGCAAAAACTTTGTATCCCTTTTTACGAAAATTGCGCGGACGGAGGAGTATGAAATTTTCCACACTTATAGAGAAAATAGAGAAGAAGTGCACAGTGCTAATATTTTTTTAAAATAATGCATAAAAGATACATTAAATCAATAAAGAAAACAATACACACACTACATACCATGTATTTGACGCACACACGCATGCATACTATTTATTGTCAAACTTTTGTTCTTGACGTCTGTTGTCAAATTGAGAATAGATTAATAAATAATTAAATTAATAGATTATTATTGTTTGTCTTTGTTAATATTTTTTATAGTGTAGTCTTGGCGAAATTTGTGATTATAGAAGTATAAAATACAATCATAATAGTGTACAAACTTACAATTCCAATTAATTATAGTCGAATTTCGACTACTGCGGGACCTCTAGTATTCTTAGTTATGCAAACCTAGAGTTGCAAATACAGCCAAAATCTCTATGAAAATCGATCTTTCATAAAATCAGTCACACGGGCAATAATTCCAATGTGGAACTACCATTTTTCTTCGCCCCCTATATTATTTCTCTCGTGAACTCACCGACGAACGTTGGTTAAAGTTCTAACGCCATGTCAGCGCGCTAGTAATTGAATCCTGCGGGTCCTCCGCCCCTTGACCGCCTCCCCACTCGGCTGTTGCTTATGAAACCTTCTTGTAATTTATAAGATTATTTTTTTATTTAATATTTAAGAAGATAATTGTTTTTTTTTACGGATTATAATAGCATGCTCGATATCATTTTTTTTAATTTTTTTTTATTGCTTATACACTCATATGAGCTCACAGCCCATAGACATCTACAACGTAAATGCACCACCCACCTTGAGATATAAATTCTAAGGTCTCAGTATAGTTACAACGGCTGCCCCACCCTTCAAACCGAAACGCATTACTGCTTCACGGCAGAAATAGGCAGGGTGGTGATACCTACCCGTGCGGACTCAAGAGGTCCTACCCCCAGTAAACGATGTCGTATGTTACGAATACCATTAACCATTAATACATGACTAGGATTTTCATACGTGTGATGCTTAGTGTCTATCTCCGACTCTGAATCAAACCCGGACTCAATGTTACAGTGTGACGAGGTCAAGTATAATTAGGGTTTTTATATCGTTTAAAACTTGAATTAAACTCACTTAACACTATAAAAAAACTTACC